TATTATAAAAATATAGAAATATAATGGTATTAATAAACTTATATGAATTAAAAAGATTTTGGTAAGTCTCTATGTAAAATAACGAAAGTGTAACTGTTATTTTAATAATATCATTGGCATCTTACTTTTAGGTCCTAACATGCCATGTAACGCGTGCGACATGGGTCATCAGAAGACAAGGCTAATGGTATATCAAGACTACCCCGCGCGTTCCTGTAGGATTTTCTTAAAAATAAATATGTTACATACATAGCATTATCATATGGTATTCTATATTATATATATAAATTTGACTTGCATGTTATTTTATTATATCAGTTTGTTAAAAAATCGATAAGCTAATAGAAGAAAAACCAATAGACTATTTGATTAATTATAGAGGAATATATGATGAAACAAAGTATTGCACATGATAGAGATGACGTGGACATTTTTGTAATTGATAAGAGATGATATGGGTTTAGTGGCGAATGATGGGTGAACACCTTGCATGAAGAGATATAACATCTAGTGGGTCATTTAGTGAAAAATAATGTGGACACCTTGCATGAAAGAGAAAGGATGACATGGGCTTAGTGGGGAATGATGTGGACACCTTGCATAAAGAGGTAGAACATAGTGGATCACTTAGTGGGAAATGATGTGGACACCTTTCCCATGTAGCGAACACTATCCGTCAGCGCAAAGAAGCATGATTCATGTCCTATGCACTTTACAACACTTGGGCCTCGAGCCCTGGACACATTTGATCTCTCTGTAAAGAGCGTTTCCAAGAGTTTCCAAAATCTAATCTCAATCTTCATTTCTTACCAATATTTAAAAAAACTGCTCCCTATCTCATCTTCCAATCTTTCCGCATTTCGGAAAATCGACCCAATCGCTCGGAAATGTACGCCCGCGTACCGATCGGCCAATGTGGAGGTGGAAGGATATGAGGAAGAATAATGAGTAGGATAGGGTTTCGAATGCAAATGTATAGCCAGACAGGCATATAAAAGTGGTTAAGGTGATCTAAAAATAGCCCAGAACTCCTGCTGTAAAATTATCTTATATAAATTCTTGGAGCGAGATTTTGAAAACCGTTGAAGCAACCTAACAAATATGCTCCTAAACCTTTTAGTTGCAAGGAAAACTCATCAATTTAGCAATTGTTTTTTGGAACTATTGTAGATGGTCTAACAGTAGCTATGATTACTTCATTACTTTTGAGTAGAAACCAGACACCCCACATATTCAAAGAATAACATGACAAAAAACAAATTACTAGCCGACCTTATCTCAGTTGGTTGAGCGGAGGACTGTAGTTCGCTGCCGATAAAATCAACAGGTCGCTGCCCCGAATCCTGCAGGTCGGATGTTTTCCTGGTAATTTTTTTTTGCCCAGACTTTCCTTTTTTTTGGTTCTTTATTTCTGAGATTAGACTTTCCTTTTTCTGGTTTGGTTGTTAAATTTTTTCTTGTCCAGACTTTCCTTTTTTTTTTTGTTGTTTATTTCTTAGACTTTCCCTTTCTTTTGGTTGTTTATTTCTTGCCCAGACTTTCTGATTTTTTTCTTGCCCAGAGTTTCCTTTCTTTTGGTGTTTATATTTCTTAGACTTTCCCTTTTTTGGTTGTTTATTTCTTGCCAAGACTTTTTGATTTTTTTTTCTTGCCCAGAGTTTCCCTTTTTTTTTTGGTTATTTGTTTCTTAGAGTTTCTCCTTTTTGTGGTTGCTTATTTCTTGCCCAGACTTTCTGACTTTCTTACCCAGACTTTTATGTTCACAAGGAAGCTGATGAGCGACCGTCACCCTTTTTTTGTTGTTTTTTCTTAGACTTGTCCTTTCAAAGCAAACTGATGAGCGGCCGTCTGTTCGCGGCACCCAAGCGGCATCAGGTGCAGCCCGTCACGTGTTAGCCGGTTCAGGTCAGGCCGTGCCCACGCCGCACTGAATGTCTGAATCATGTGGCTCCGTGGCTGCGCACGCATGCTGGCGCGAGGTGCGCACGTCGCACGTGAGCGGCTTCGAGAGGTGCAGGGCAGGTGGGCTCTCCAATTGCCACGTCGTAGCCGTAACAATAATTTAGGCTGATGGTTTCTCAGGCGGATAAGCGCGGTGGCATCAGTTTGCCGCCGCCTGACTGGATGCACGAGCGCGGTGGCATCGGGTGGGCCGCGGGCGAGGCGAGGTGCCCAGGCCACGTGGATGGCGGCGCTGGTGGGGTTGTGGTTCCGTCCTTCCGGGGACTTCTTGACTCGAGAGTTCGGCCGCGCGCTCGGCGCTTGGGCTTCGCGATTCTACAAACATCCATTTCAGGTTCTACTTACTAAGTCAGTACTAAGTGAAATTATATTTAGTTCCACTAAGTTAGTAATATTGAGGTGATGTCGTAAGTATTGTTCTTTATTTTTATAAATATTACTAAATTTATTTACAATAATAATAATTTAACTTACGACAACTCGAACCCTTTACGGTTTTTAGGGCGAATATTGTATGGCCTCTCATATGCTCCCTTTCATATATTAGTATGTTAGAATTAATATTGTTTTGGACATGGACACATGTCCATAAAATAAGTCTCAGAGTGATTTGCATATAGATTTATGACGCGTAAATGGTTACGACGTATATGTTTTTTTTTTAAATATAAAACTAGTTATGCCATTTTCAAATATCCAAGCTCAACATGCAAAACTAATTTGTAATAAAGTTTTGTGAACAGTAACTTCTTTTTGTGGATTGGAGGAACAACTAGGTCGTAGTTTGGTGACTTTGTGCACATATGGCCATTGGCAAATTAATTAAATGTACTATTCTGTATTCAAAGGCATATATATTAAAAGTTTGTTTGAGCTTTCCCCTAAATTGGAAGAAACTTGCTCTCTTCGTCCCATCGAGTGTCATTCTAACATTTCACTTTTGTTCTACAAAGAGTGTTATTATAAGCAAACATATGGGTTTCACCTACATACTTTCTATCTTAACTCACTAGAACAGACATTATAAGCTAAATTTTTGTAGGGGTATTTGACAATTACATTGTTATATCTCCTAACTCGTACAATGATTCTTTTTTGTGGGATGGGAGTACTTCTCCTAAAAACTATTCAAACAATCTGTTTAGAGAAACTATTTTTCAAAAACCATTTGCTTTTCAAATAAAGAGACTCCTTATTGAAACTTTCTTCTCAAAATCATTATTGTTTAGTTTCTACTTCTTTAACAGATGTGTAAAAACCAGCCGAACCCTTACAATACTGAAACACTACAGAGTTCACTGTTCACACCTTATCACCTGCCTAGGCCTAAGTTGGCTCAACATCTCATAGAGCGAGCATTTTTTTTTTAATTTTTTGCAATGTGGACGTGTACATGAACAAATCCTAGGTGCCTTAAAATACGTCTTATAGCCTAGTACGCGTGACGCGTCTACTGAGATTTGTGAGTTGCAAACTTGCAATTGCCGTAGTACGAGTACGTTCCTTGGTGTAAAAACTCTGACCTGCAGGGACCACCACTGGCATGCCATCACTAGTCAGCCTGTTCGAGAGGCCGTATCGTATCGTGGATTATTTACTGCTGACTGATTTAGTGTGAGAGAAAAACACTGTTCCCGACTGAAAATTTACTATCGTTTACGAGCAAGCAAACATGCATCAAGGTGTAATCAATAGTCCCATGACCAATTAAACAATTGGTTTGGGATAGTATAATCCTAATCCCTCAGACACCTAAGCTGGGGGCAATGGATGAAAAAACAGAGTTGCTTGCTTGCATGATGGATGAGATGTGACAAAAGGTGGCAATGCCTTTTCTTTTGCCATCAAAAGTGGCAGCTGGTCTGCCTTTCCATGGAGGCAGAAAAAGAGATAATTAAAAGAGGTGACCTTCAAAAACAGGAACACGAAGTCAGTGACGAGGATGATAAGATTTGAATTTGAATATAATTCACAGAATTGTCCAGGATATATATAAAAATATGACAAATACCACTTGCCCACATAGCCTAGTCACTGTTGATATATTTCTTTACAAGATGAATACTAAAGATGACGAGTCAAACATATCTTTAGCTCATGATTTACTTTTTGAGTCATCAACCTACCACGGAGTTGGTTTATGCTTGAAAATGAGAGGGAGAAAGGTAGGAGGGGGAAGAAAAAGATCCGGGACTAGAGCAATGTGTGGTCATTAAGGTTGAAAACGGACGGAAAAAATCCGGTTTCGACCAGTTTCGTTATCTACTTTCTTCCGTCCATTTTCGTATTTGTGGGATCCCGTTTATGGAAACGGGAAAGGGGTTTTTCCGTTCGTTTCCACGAGATCCCGTTTTTATCCAGAATTGACCCGTATTTATTCCGTTTTCAATCGATGTGAGATATGTCTAGAAATTGATATGTTCATAAACCTACTAATAATAAATTATGCATGTTAACATGTTAACACATGGTTTACTAGTGAATATTGGACCCATAATTTCGTACGTGTATATTATTTAGTGACTTTGTTCATGTATATTCAAGAATATTTGAGCATGTTATTATAACTTATTTTTCTGGCTCTCCGTCTGTATTTGTCTGTTTCTATATTTCCGTATATCTTCGTCCATTTTTTTTTCCGAACCCGATTCCGTTTCCTTAAAAAAAATAGAAACAGAAATAAGAGAGGAGTTTTTTCGTCCGTTTTAGTGGTCATGCTCTCAAGGACGTGACTTCCCGTGGGCCAAAGCGAAGCACCCAGCTGTCAGTCTGTCACCATTTGGGCCACACGAAAAATCGCTATCGGATACGTACTCACATCGTCATTCAGATTACACAAAAATCATTCCTGCTGCTGCTAATCAGATGCCACCACATATATCATGGTTCCACAGCAAGAACTGAGCCATCCGGTCCGGCGGTCCCAAAAGAAGAAAAAGGCAGAGTGGAGCACACCTTCCGTTTTAGGAAAGTGAGAAGAGGGGAACTGGGGAGTTGGGAGAGAGGGAGCCAGGGATCAGCGGCGGCCGGCGGAGGAGATGGAGGAGCGGGAGAAGCTCGTGTTCCTGGCCAAGCTCGCCGAGCAGGCGGAGCGATACGACGGTGAGGGATCTCATTCTTGCGCCCGTGCTTAATGCCTGTATGCACTGGAGTATGTAGTGTTGTTCTTGGTGGTTGGTGCCCTGCATTTTGGGGAAATCCGTGGTCTCTTCTTAGGCGGAACGGAATTAGGTGTCTTTGGCCTTCGATTAGGCGCGTTTGTTTCGGTCTCTGCTTTACTTGCTTGAACTCATGAACAGTAACCTGCCGGCCACCGCAGCAACTGTTTTGTTTTAGGATTTTTCTTTCTGTATCGGAGGAAAAAATCCTCAGAATCCGCAGCAGTTCGATCACTGCGTCCCTTCTGCGTAACGATTCCTGGCTAATTTCAGTTGGTTTTTTGTTGATTTTTGGACTGTATGAATTGTTTGTAGAAATGCTGGGGGAAGGCGTATTCTGTTCTGATATAAATAAAGATATGATTTTTATGGCGATTTGTGGGCCAATCTTGCGATAGATGAGTATTTCTGACACGTTTCTGTTACTTCTAGTTATGTCGATTTGTGTCTGCTGAAGGGACTAACGAAATTATTTGTGTCCAATGGTTTGTGGGGGCCAATTCTATGAATGCCCCTTGAGTCGCTTTTCTACTGCCTTTGATGTTGCTATGAGAAAAGGAATGATCTTGGTATCATGGGTGATGCAATGAGAAGAGAAAAAAGAAGTAAATATATCTCTACACATTCTATTTATAGGCTTGGTACCAATGATCTCTATTAGACTCTACAGGTGTTGAATAAGTGAAGCTGTGGAACCCAACATCTATGTTCACATTCAGATTTTAGTTTAGTGTGAAAAGAAGTTTAGCAATATATAAAGTCATATCCTTTCTGCTGTCTTGAGTGGTTTCATCTAGTGGCCTTGTGCCCACTATGCTGGAATGGGCATAATTCTAGACTCCTTCGAATTGTTATGCCCAACTTCTGGAACCCAATTTTTTTTAGCAATTTGGCCACAACTGGATGCTTATATATCACTTATTTTTTTATACTGCAAATTATTTCATCATGTTCTCTAGGATTCTTTAACCTGGGACTTGTCAGTCAATATATGGACCTGAGCACTAATAGGAACATTTGGACATAAAAAACATATGACTACTTCCATAAAGGCCCCTGTTGCGTTATTCTTGGAGGTGTACTATGAGGTTCTTGTGTCCATGTAAGCTTTAATATTCCCTCTGAAAAGTGCAGACACCGTTATGGGTCTGCAGTTCTCCATTCTTCTTGTTTATAGGAACCTCCTGCCTCCTAAGGATCAGTTTAGCTGTCATCTTCCTCTTTCTTTGGCAAATCTAAGAACTTTTGGAAGTAAATGGAAACATGACATAAAATTCACTAAAGTAATTCTTCAATTTTAACTCAATCCATGATTATTATGGCAGATATGGTGGAATTCATGAAGAATCTTGCTAGGATGGATGTGGATATGAGTGCTGAAGAAAGGCATTTGTTCTCAGTTGGTTTCAAGAACACTATCGGGGCAAAGAGAGCATCATGGAGAATCATTTGCTCACATGAGCAAAAGGTCACAACTGATCGTCAGACTGGTGTGATGATAGATGCCTATAAAAAGAAAGTAGAAGATGAACTAAGGAAGGTTTGCAATGAAGTATTGTCAATCATCGCTATTCATTGCCTTCCCTTGGCCAACGCGGGTGAAAATGTCGTGTTCTTTTATAAGATGTATGTACAGGTTCCTTGATTCAGCAATCTGTTTCTTATTTGCCTTTCGCTTTTTCCGATGATGCCCTATTTTCTAATGATTATGTTCAGAGTTTATTTTCTATCGGTATCTCATTAACTTTCCAGGTAAATTGATATTGCTTTTGCCAAGACAGTACAATTTTGAGCTCAAAATCTCTTTTGAAGAGCTCATTTCCTCCAAAAGTTTTTGTGGTAAATCATTTGCAAAGCTTTCATGATTGATCATCATTATGGTAGCAGGAGCTCCAGAAAATGGTGTGTGTGTGTGGAGGTGGGGGTGGGGGTGGGGATAAACTGTCTGGTTATGGTTTGATAGGTTGTGGGTCATATATCCATGGCTCACCGCTCACTTGACTATATATTTGTGCTAGAATTCGTTGGAATTCCTATTTTTGTTTTAAAATGTGGCATTACTTATGCAAATAAAATAAAAATATATATGCCAAAGCAAAGGATATGAAGAAATGATATACACAAACACAATATTCATTGTATGCTTTTTAGAATCTGTGCACATTTTTAGAGAAGCACAAAGGTACTTCTCGTAATGGTACTAGATTTAGATGATTTACTATCTATTTTTCGATAACTAGAAGGGCGGGCCTGGTGCAAGCGGTAGAGTCTTACCGCCTGTGACCGGAAGGTCCCGGGTTCGAGTCGCGGTCTCCTCGCATTGCACAGGCGAGGATAAGGCTTGCCACTGACACCCTTCCCCAGACCCCGCACAGAGCGGGAGCTCTCTGCACTGGGTACGCCCTTTTTTTACTATCTATTTTTCAATAAAGAAAACAATAAGCCACTTCTTTCCTAGTGGAGTTGCTACCAAGTACTGGATTTAGCTGAAGCTTCTTCAGTTTATCAATACATGTAAAGCTTTCTTGTAATAGTGTGTTATCAGGTAAGATGTTCAAAAAGGTAGGAAAAGAAATAAGTTTAAATAGCTGAGCCATCTGCCGGTCTCCAGATGTTCAGCGAGTCAAGCGGCTTTAAAATAATGATATGAGATTTTGTTACATTGGCCTTCATTTTTAGTCTCTTTATTATGAAAGTCACTATATATGAGTGTTTTTCAGTCTTACAAAATTGTTTCCATTATATGGTAAGTATAGTGAAAATTTTTAAATAACCTACTTTATTTCTGAGAAATAATTACCATGATTATCTTGGTATCTCATTATCCTGTCCATGACTGTTTTGGATACATCAACATTGGACAATCGAATGGTGTTTCAGTAGTTCTGAAGTGCTTGATCAGTCCATTGTGTATCTGACGCTGTAGGATGATACAAGGAATTTTACGTGGTCTATGTGTGGCCCTGGTAATCTATTGACATTAGGTCTGATTCTCTATCATTTCACTGATAATGTCTCCACCGTAGCGCATGCATGTTGACATCGTACTCCTGTCCTACAATATTTTCCTTACCTGCTTTAGATTTGACTCCTAGACTGTTGCAGGAATGGTGACTACTATCGTTACTTGGCTGAATTTAGCACTGGAACTGAAAGGAAAGCTGACTCTGATCAGTCACTTATGGCCTATCAGGTGCTAAATCTTCCAAATATTATACATGGGCTCAAATGAACTTTTCGGTAAAGCCTATCCCTTCCTGTTAAAATAACAAACATTTGCTGCAGCATGCCATGGTTGTCGCCTCCAGTGAGCTCTCACCTGCCCACCAGATCCGGCTTGGCCTTGCTCTCAATTTGTCGGTCTTCTTTTATGAGATAATGAACTCTCATGAGAGGTCACTCATCTTCAATGGCTTGTTTCTCCCTTTTCATTGATGTTTCAATTTCATAGATATTCCTATCCACTCATGTTACATGTTTTGAAACATGGGCTTACTTGCAAAGAGGTGACTATTTTCAAATAAACCATTCACCTGCTGCAGATGCTTTATTACTAAGTTAAATTATTTTGTTTTTCCCAAAAGGCATTTTGAGACATTTAGCCATTTGCATAATTAAACCTCACGAACACAATATTTAGTTAAAAATGCGTTTTACAGTCTGAATCCACTGGATGCTAGTTGGGCGCATGATAGATTCATTTGTTCTGCCCTTTTCTATGAAAGGCATTTAAGATTATGTTTGTTTTCCCCCCTCCTGGAAGCTGCATTTGGCCACGTGATAGATGTGGTGTCATTCCAGTATGCCGCTTGACAGGCCACTAGTGTTTAATTGCATCAAGTTCAGTCTCTGAGTTTCATGGTTACCTCTCTTTTTCAGAGCTTGCCAAGTGGCAAAACAAGCATTTGATGAGGCTCTTACTGAGATAAATTCTGGTGAAGGGGTTTACAAGGATAGCACACTTATGATGCAGCTTCTGAAGGACAACTTAGCATTGTGGACATCAGAACTAACTGGAGGTAATCCATCTTTGCAAAAATACTTACCGTTAACTAATGGTCACATAAACCTTTTTATCGGAGACAAGAAATGAAGTTGTAACTTCCTTTTTTATATGGTATCATCTTAAAATATAATTTGTTCTGTAGAAAGAGCAAGTAGTAGAAATTTGCTTGTATGTCCTTTTTCATTTCATCTAGATTATTTTGTAGTATAACTTATAAGCTGTCAAATTCCTCGTAGAATAATGGCTAGTGGGTACTTGGATCTGCCATATGGAGGAACAATGACTTAACTTCAAGTGAAAATATATGCACACATTTTGCAGACCACAGAGTCACTACAGAAGATTTGATGAGGGAGTTGCTAGGCATAAACAATTATTAGTAATCAGCCTATAATGATATAAATAACTTGGATGTCAAGTTTAACTGTGCCTGATTATTTGCTATAGAGTGGCCTGCAGAGTACTGATAATGCTTTACTTTCCTTGACATTCGGTTGAGCGGAAGCTTTCCTTCATCTTCATTTATATGATGATAAAACTTACAGAATATTACTTATCATAAATACCTATTCAGTTTCAATGGCTGAATACTCACAATGTGCCTAGAAAATGCATTCATCCTTACATGGTACTAATTTAGGAATTGTAGATTAGGGATTAGGACCTAACTAGTTATTTAATATTAATAAATTCTCGACATAATTACAACACAAAGATTTAACCAACATGTGTTTCTTCATTTTGACAGGTGAAGCATCCAAGGATAATGATGTCGACATGGAGGTATAGTGCCTGTGCCTATGACTTGAATTTGGATATGTTAGTAAAACTCCATGCGCTTAAGTCTCTTCAATGTATCTGAAACAATGAAGTGGTCAAAATACTACTATTTGTTTGTCTTATATAAATGATTTCCAATATAAAAGCCTGGATCTTACATCACGGCCTCAGCTTGCACTAACAGAGTGAAGTGAAATACAAAGTTCGTTCCCATCAGACACTAAATTTTGAAAGAAGACTGTTCTGTTGATGTACTTCAAGCTATTGGCATCTACCATTTTATATAATTTCCCAATCTTCTTTCATTTTTTTGCATGTTAGCTTCTAAAGTGCAAATCCTTCTTGAAATCTGGACAGAAGTCCATGTCCTACCCATCCAGAATTGCAAATTTTTATTAGCAAGCTGCAGTAGTTGCTGGCAAATTTGAAGTTTGTACGATCTTACAGTACTGACATGTTCTAAGATGGCGGTTGACAATGCGCAGATACATCTTCAATGTTTGTGTAGGGTTGACAATGCGCTGATACATCTTCAATGCTTGTGTAGGGTTGATTGATATGTGCTCAAGGAACACATAACGCACGCAAAATATCCAAGCTGCGCTGCTAGCGAATCCGGGTCCTCGAGTTTTTCTGCATCAGAATTCAGAAGAGCTTCGCGTATTTTTCTGAAGTTTTTCTGTTCCTCTGTTTTGGGCATCGTTTGGTCCTAGAGTCAGTGTCCTTACTAAGTGTTTCTCAGAGGTCTGGACTGGTGACCATCCAGCAAGCTTTGGTCATATTTTGTGAGCTTGTGCTGGTGACCACCCAGCTCTGATGTTATGTTGCTTTTTTTTTCGGTGCTTTAGAGGCATCTTTGTACACCGATGACAAACTGTCTCTCTTATCAATGCATTAAAGACTGTCGCTGTCGTTATTAATCTAGCTATGCTGTTCCAGGTGATGCTGTATTGGCAATTTACAGTGATGAGAGTGAGTTTTGAACTAAATACACTGGAAAACCATCTAAGCTCTGCAATTTTGCTGATGAACATGTGGGTGCGTATACACGGGGGTGCAGATTTTACTGTCTGGTTGTCAGGGCCCTGGTGGGCTGTTGGACCGGCCAATGGTCAAGAGAAGTGGGCTGGGCCATCTTGGGCCCATGGAAGGAAGCAACAATACAAAACTCACTCTGGCAACCCATCCTGGCCACGGTGCAGTGGGCCGCATCCAGGCTCGCCGCCGCCGGGTCGGCCTTCGGCAAGCCGGCCGGCGACCACCCCCGGCATTCTCCTTAATTGGCTTCCTCGACCTCGATGTTGCCACCGGAAGCAGCCATCACCAACCCTGCGGCAACAAGTGTGAGCTGCGCTGCGCACACCAAGGGGGCAGAAACGGCCATGAACAGGACGACCGCAGTCTTGTATAAGCAGTAGCCTGGGCAGCCTGACTATCGATCGTCCTCATCGAGCTGCCAGCCTCTGCAGTCTGCAGTGACAAGGGGATTCCAGAAAAAAAAAACTTTGGCTATAGCTGTTCTTCCGGTTGATGCCGCCGGACACTCCGAGCTCGTTCAGCTGGGTAAGGTTCTCGATCGATCCAGAAGACCAGGACGCCCTCGCTCATCTCCTGCGGGCCCGCTGTCGCGCTGACGTTAACAACACCCAGCGCGTGTTCCACGCCATTAGCAAGTCGATCGATCGGTTCGGTGGTCAGCTTTCACAACGGCCAGGGACGACGTGACACCGCCATAGTAGCACGTGATCATCGATCTTTCAAACATGCGGCCCCTGTTGCTATCATCTCATAGATTGTGGTCCTTGTCTCGTGAGAGGTGAGAAAGAAAAAAAATCTGACG